CCAGGAAAAACCTACATGCACCAGGAAAACCTACATGTACCGTAATTTTGCAAATACCTGTAGTGCATATTCCTTTATAGCAATTTGAGGATTATAAGCCAAAGCTAAGGTTAGATGTGTAGGCCTATATGTATTATGAACCTGCTGCGAGGAATGGGAGAAAGAAATAACACGTTCATACACTATCTGGTCAAGAATTTAAACTTTATTCGGATTCTCACTTATTGGTAAATATGTGCAGGAAGTGAGTATTTTGCTGGTTAAAAAGTTACATGCACGTCGTGCATGCTCAGCAGAACAGCTACATACATGCACAAGCAAAAAGCTACTTGCACTGATGCACATGTGCACCGGGTAATTCGAGCCCTGAAATGCGGCATTATGAAATAAGGAATTTCCCCTCCAAAACAGATGTCAAAACCCTTGCACATGATTGCAGAACTGTGTTGTCAAAAGTGTACAAGCCAACCGAGCTTGATACGTTAGGTGGTTGAGGGATGAAACATACTCAAAAGTGAGCGGAGCAGAGGACAGTTTCAGTTTTGAGTCTCTTAAGTGAAAGAATAGCACCGTCAAAAATACTGCTGTGTTTATTTTTGGTTGTGTTTGTGATGCGTGGACTACCAAGTTGCATTTCGGCACGAGTGAAATACAAGTAGTCTCTCCACGAGCGAAGTTGTCCGGTGTGCACTGAATAACTTTAGTCCTCAAAACATTAGCACAGAGCCTTATTTGCCCGAACAAGGGCAACCACAAGTCTTTTTGAGTTTTGAGGATGTTTCTCAATTTGGAATAAACCAGTTTCTGCCCCCAACCCTCCCACTGGATCCTACCCCCAGTCTGGGCATTCCAGAACCACTCTTTACCAATGCACTGTCACTTCACAGTTGGCAAGGAGTAGGCCTTTTTGCTCCATTTACTTATGAATCAGTCACTTGTTCTGTGTTCAATTTGCATTTGAATCCTCACTGGCTAGACACATTACTCAATGTGGACGGTGGTTCCTGACTTGTTTGCACATTCTGTGCCTTTTTCTGTACCCTGTGTGAAGGTTTGACATTCCATCTGCATTGGTTTAGGTGGCCAAGATTGATATCCAGTACGCCAGGACGGCCAAAAAGATGGACGTCAAGAAACTCAAGTCGCTGATGTGGCAGCATTTGACAGCGGACAAGGAAGAAGACAAGGTCAGTCCTTGAACATTCGGCCAGCGACAACCCCCCCCCCGGTGATTCTGAATGTCTTGTAGTTCTGTATGCCAAATTTTTCAGTCAGACACTCGTTTTGTTCATATTATTTCTGCAATCCTTACTTTTAAGACCCTGCTATTATGCATGTGTTCCAATTGTCAAAATTGGTAAGAAGTTCACATTTTCTAGCCGCTCTCTCAACACAGGAAGACTTCCCAATGCTGCCATGGTAATTTTTGGACTGCAGGACACCTTGTATTGTGTTTCCATGAGAAAAAAAGTCTGTTGCCAAGTACGACCTAGCAGCTTTTTTTCCTATCAATTTGTGTCCATACAGGTGCTCAAATAATTTGACAAAAACACAGCAAAAATAAATTCCAGGAAAACCAAGGGCACGTCCAATAACACAATACTTTGCGTACGTATGCGTACCACTAACAATAAAGGTATACAAGATATGACAATACCGACATACTTTTCTTTTGCTATTGAATGTCCCCCTGGTTTGGGTTTTTTGTGGGAGTAGGGAAAGCAGGGTGGCTGATGTCGTAGCACAAGGCAACAATATTAGACTGCAAATATGCAACAAAATGTTTACATGTATATACGTGTCATTGTGAAATCAATCGGTGATTTTTTTTTTTCCCAGCAGTTTTGGTTGTTAGAAATAACCTCTGGTCATTCCAATACCGAAAATCTTGCAGGAAAACATCCCCTCAGAGACTGATGCCAACAAGAAGACGTCGGTGGCGGGCGAGCAGTGCTTCAGTGACATGTACCAGGTCCTGCCGGCCAAACTCTCCCGCACCATGGCCAAGAACCTCAGCATTCCCATCGCCTTTGTCTGCCTCCTCCATCTGGCCAATGAAAAGGTTGGTGTCTCAGGAATGCATAGAGAGTATCTTAAGATGGCAGTAGCAAAGTTAGCGTGCCTGCCAATTGTTCCGATTTACTTAGAACTGTCCTGATTTTTAACTTTTCAAAACAGCAAACAAATCAGCGTGTTCAAATTTTCATTCATTCAAAGAAAAAAATAATGAAAATAATTATTATTGGTTCTCCAGCTTTGTTCACACCTACAGTACAGGTCAGAATTTCAACAGACACAAAAGGAGTTATCCGCAAACACGAAACACGCTGACCCCTGCATAACAGAGAACGCCGGCACCGTAATCCGATCTGCTGAGTATAAACATGCACACGCTACACGAAAACCCCAGAACAGCCAGGCCTTTGTTGACTGGAGCAGTCATTTTCCTAGTTTCCCATAACGAAAAGTATTCAGTTTAACTGCAGCTCAAGTTATCTTCAAATTCCAGGGAAATGTGGTCAGTAGTTTACCTTGTAAGCGTTTTGTTTGGCCATACAGGATCGAAGAAAGTGCCATGCAAGCAACACTTTTGGTTAATGTCTGAATTGCTCCAAAAACATCTGAATCAGGCACAGAAAATATTTGAACTTGAAATCAAGTTTTCAACCGAGACAAAGCATTTCCTAAATTTGAGAAAACTATTTTGAAAGAAATCCACAAAATAGAAATGGTATTTGACCTCGCCGGTCCGCTAGCCAAATTTTAGTCAGGACAGCCCCCACGGCGGCGATCCTCGCATACACTGATAGTTGTTGCCATACTCGCACTCAGTGTGTTCAAAATCGCATGAATATAAATTCAATGTGAGATAAGGATTTTTCCCATCAGTTTTCGATTCTGGAGCTGGAAAATCTACCAAATCAAATGGCTCTGTTTGTGGCAAAATAACGACCAAACTAAACGGCAAAGATCATACGATGTGCATGCACTGGCTGCTCACAAAGAACAAAGTAGCACTCATACGAACTTCATAAATATGCATGTCGTGTGACGCTGTATCAAAATGAATATGCAATACAATCGTTTTGATTTATGATTGGTGATTGGGATGAAAGCATTGGGGTGGTTGTAGTTTCGTGATTGCTTTGTCACGGCATGGTCGCGGCACATCTGTTGGTGTGTGGCAGCAAATGAAAAAGTCAAGTAAAATTTACACAAGTTCAGTGGGTGTTTTTTTTTTTTTTTTTTCTTATTTACTGGAATTCTGATATATGAACTCAATTTCCATAAAATAAGAAATATGTCATTGTAAAATCAGCTTGGTGTAATAGTTCTGGCTGAGGATTTCTTTTGTGGTTACTGTTTATTTGTGAAAAAGTTTTCACGCAATCGGGAATTGCTTAAAAACCGATCTAGCATTTACCAGCATTGCAAGAACAACATCGTTGTCGCTCAAGTCAATCCCGTGAGTTTAAAATTCAAAGCTTAAATTTGGGAAAAAGTTTTGTAGTATCTAATCACACAGGGTGGACTACTGGCCAGTTTCAGTGCCATTTGACATTTTCCAGATGTAATCCGACTGAATAACTTTTGCAGTCCAAAACTGAAAGAAAACGGCTGTATCATACATATTTTTATACTTAAAGACAGTCATCTTGCCAGCCAGGCGATACATGTACATGTTTGTGATTTCATTTATTCAGTGCACTGCCATACAGTGTAGGCCCTACATGTACATACATTACTGTACATGTATGTATGTACAGTGTACATGCATACAGGAAGCTGAAGCGACAGCTCTGCGCGTGCAGTGGTTCACTACACATTGTCGGTCATCTTTGCAGTCTGCGGTCACAAGCCCTGCCAAGATACTGAGGTCTGGGGTCAGGCTTATCGTGCAATGCACGGTAAAAACAGTGAAGCTTGTATTGAACAGCGTGTCAGGTTCACTGATCGTGTTAGCGTGTCGGCTAAAATTCTGACCTGTACTGTAGATAATTCAGTATTTGGCTGTGATATTGGTACTAGAGAAGTACTCAACTATGAAATTGGATCAGACGCTACAGTGGTACTTGCTTTTTTTAAGTGCGACAATCCCAAGGCAAAACAGGATAATTGTAACACATGTCATGATGAATCCTTAGGAACCCCTTGCAGGTCCCCATCCTGTAACCCCTTTTTCGTTATCCTTGCAACATTTTCTTTAATACCATGGCAAATCTTTAACAGCCTCTCTGCTAGATGTTGCATGGATTCTTGTCTTCATCCCCAAAAATCTCATCATCAGCGTGGAGGCTGTACCAAGAAGGGAATTTCGATTCCTGGAAAAGAGACTATCCACAACACTGTCCCACTGTTTTGCACTGATTGAATCGTTTGATTGTCTTCGTTAACAGAGTTTGCAGATTGTCAACAACGAGGAGGATCTGGTCATTACTCAGAACTGAACTCTGAAGAGTCTACCTCAGTCAGTTCCCTGCCCGTCTCTGCTCTGCACGCTTCCCCTACCCTTCAACGTGTTCATTTGCCCAAACCTGGAGAAACCCCCCCCCCAATGATGGAGCAGTGGTGCATCATAACTCTACCTCCCCATCTGTAGATGCATCACCGAGGACACGCTGCAGCGCTAGTGTCCAGTGTTGATGGTATTCCCATTTTTTACAGACAAAAGAAGAGACATATTTTCCATCTTGTGATAAGGGGTTGGTTACCTGTACAGGATAGCATAGGACCGTGGTCATAGAGAAAAATCAATTCCCGTCAAAATTCAGATGCATATGTCTGAGAAAGCTACTGGAACATCCTGGGAGATTGTCAGAGTTCTGAAGTGTCAGGCAGAGCAATACGGGATGAACCCGACGATCCTGGAAATTTTGTAACATTAAGATCTGACTGGATGAAGACTTTATGATGTACACGTGCTTGCTCTTAATATTTCGTCATTTTTTTGTGACTACATGCATTCGTTTGCCATTCATCCGGAGGTGAAATGGATTGTGTGATTAAGCTCAACTGTTCATTCTCTTCAAATTCCAATTGGCTCCCATCATGCATGAAATTTCTCCCCTTCGGATGCATGATTTTAGTTTTTATGTTGTACAGTGCGCACAAAGAATTGTCCTTGAAGTACATTCATCTAGTTGCTGTAAATATTTTAGCAGGCATATTTTTCAGTGTTGTAAATTAATGGAGCTGTTAGTCAGTCAAGACTTTACTTTTATTTGTTTCTCACTATGATTTAGGGCTGAATTTTTAATTGGTAGCTGCTGTGTTTACACGTATAGTTGGCATGTGTCGGGACTCGGGAGTAGTGAAGGACTCGTACACTTCTGTGCTAAAATTTAAATTGAATGAAGTTCATTTATACGCTATATTGCTCGGGCGTGCAACTTTTCCTCCGATCAGCTGATTTCCTCGTTTTCCACTTCACACTCCTGCCAGTTGAAAATGAAAAAACACTGTACAAAGTCTTGTAAAGATCAACATTTCCTCGTTTTTTGTCAAAGTCCAAGTTTCATGCCTGGTTGAAAGCAACAGGTGCCTACATGTACATGTAGTTGATGTGGCTTGGATGATTATAATTGAGGTGTGTAATATGACAGTGTTTCTTTAAGTTCACGACACGAATATGGAAATTCCGCTTATTTTAAAGAAATCGAGTCCAAAACTGTGATATCCAGTCTGTGATACACATGTGAGGGATCTGAGTAATCCGAGTAACCAAACCCAAGAAAAATACAAATGACACGAGAACAAACTCAACGTGAACAATTACACAACAGCCTCGTAATACTGGTGAACACAAGTACAATGCTTGTATGTTTTAATGTTAATAGGCACATGATTCTCTTGTGGTACAGTGTACACTTCACTGAGTAAACTCTGAGTACTAGTACAGTTGTATCAACCCATCACGAAGTGTGACAACTACGTGAAATAACAAACGACCTTGTCTCCATAAATACAAACCACACTAATCATTAGGGTTCTTTATCTTGTTACCTGACATTACATTACAGTTCAAGGTTTTTGTCTCTATTTTGTCAAGATCTCCTTTTCTCTGCATTTCTTCCAAGACACTGAAACGTGACTACTACTGTCCATCAGTCTCTGGGGACAAGGGCGGGAAAAAGTTACATAATAGGCTCAATCTATTAAGGATATCGCACAAGATTAACTATCTTAGCCCTTTGATGCGCCAAAGCGGTAAAAAAAAATTACACTCTACTTGTCTTCTTTTGCCTGGCACAAGAGACTCCTAAATAAACTGTTCTCAAATTGCACATTAGTAATACAGCACATAGGTTTTCGGGGGAAAAGTAGCATAATAAATATGCCCATGGGCAAATAAAGACAAAATAAATTAACATATGTAATTACAAATAAATAGGCGTGCATCGTATCTTTCCACATATATATATATATATAATTACTGACTGTATGCAATTGCATGTGATGGTACAACAGCTTTGCCGTGTACATGTAGGTGTCTAATAAATTAATTCTAGATAAGCACATATCTGGATTGGTATCTCTTTGTAAATGAGATGAAGAATTGCAAATAAAGGCAAGATGCTCATATTGAGGATGTTAATAAATAACTGGTTAATACACGTTTTTATGACACAGACGTGTGATATGAGAAAATACGGTTATTCTTTCAGATTTTCCAAGTAATGTTCATGAGAACATGGGTCTAAATGTCATTTAAATCAGTGCATTGACTTTCATTGACAAATGTTTTGACAAAGCTTCATTAATACACATTATACAAGTACAAACTCTACACTTTGTGATTGTTTCTTCCCCAGTACCGAGGCAATCATTACAAATATCCTGTTATTGGCACTTCAGTAGTCACATCAAATTTCATGATTCCAGATTAAATGTCTGCACAAGCACACCTCACAAAGCCCATACAGTGCACGTACAGCAAAGTGTGCCATTTAATATTACCAATAAACAATCTTTCTTGCATGAAGTTTCACGTTGTGGATGTACGTGTATGTGCAAGACAGTGCATCAAGCTCGCCATGATCAAGACTTGTACACGTTCAACACCCACAACTGACGTAAACAAAAGGAGCGCTGTGCACGCACACACGCCCACGCAGTACCAAGATGAAATGAATTTATGGTTGACATTATCAACACACAGCCACAACAGACATTATGTTAACGACCAAATGCATTCATTTTCCATCAGTCTCAGTTACAGTGGTACACTGCATTTCACGGTGTGATTTGTCCTGGTGCATTTAAAGAGACTGAATTATACACAGTGATTGTGCTTTCTTACCTTACATCAACACGTCAAATATTCTCCACATTATTTCATGTACGTGTGTGTAGATTGCGGTGCTGTCATGTCATGACTTGATAATCCTATGGTATACTGCAGATTTTGGACCCTGTGTTTACAGAACCTTCCAAGGTTTCTAGAGCGTGTGCCATTGTAACAAATGGGCGGTCTTTGTCATTACTATGTTTAACGTAAAGGGTTAGCACATTTTCTTTTATCTGTTTATTTTCCTTAGAATTCAGGATTTTTTATTCAGGACCTACATGTGTAGGTCGTGAACTTTGAAGGGGAAACAACCGGTCCTCTTAGGAAAATCCCACTGTACATGTACTTCAAGGAAATAAACATCTTCCAGCAGTACTTTCAAGTGTCACAAAGATACTAGCCTACCACTTACAAAAAGACACCGCAGTGGAGTCATTAAGGAAAATTTTCAAGAGGTCTTGTCTTTTCACCCATGATTCTATCACGACTGTGTATCTGCACCAGCATGTACGGTAATTGTAGCTACCTGAATTATCCTTTTAAAGTTTTTTTTACAATAGTGCAGCTCCTTTTTAAAAGGTCTCGGCACGCTGAGCAAACTACTTTTGTCTCATATCTGCTTGAGAGCTAGCAATGTAAAGTTGCACTTTGAGAATTCCAACCGGGGAGTCCATTGGCATAACCGAATCCACCTGTGCCAGACACCATAGCAAACATCCAACTGACGGCACAATAGAACAGCACAGGTGCGGGGTGACAGCAGCGTCACAAATACATGTACACAGACAGTGGCGCCACGGCGCCAAGTCTCAGCACTGACCAAACTTTCCCAACGTGCGTCTACTTCACTCGTACCACTTATTTTCAATTTCGACACCAAATCTACACGCAAGTGTACCTACATGTAGGTGAATATATTTACTACACAGAGGAGTTTGCACACAGTTGCCAAATAAACTCGGCTGTACTGTCCTGTTACAGTAAAAGCCCAGAGTTGTTAAATCCAATGTTAAATAGTATGCATTTACGGCATGTGTCCATTTCCACGTACCACTTTACGGTGTAAGATGAAGAATTGAAGAAACAAAATGAGGTCTAAAATATATCATATACTACACCTATAAACTCCCGCCAGGAGGCTATATTCAGATTGCACTAGTGAGTCATATCAACATATACCATAGACTATTTTCCACTATTACAGGAAACCAAAACTGACAGATAAATATAACTGCTCACTATAAGTGAGCATAGAATTCAGATTTTTGCACAAATTTTTTTCTTATTTTTTCTTCTTTTTCTCTTTGTACCAATTGTAATACTTATATGACGAGGTAAACATTAATTTCAGTCTACACTATAACAAAGTCTTTCTTCACCTGAATAAAGATTTCAACAAGTGTAAGGTTGTAAAGAGCAAGAGATCCATCCCTTCAGACAACTCAGCTGAATGTACTTTTGGGCACTGCAATGCCTTAGGCACTGGGCGATGCCCTAGTACATGTACATATTCAAAGTACATGTACATGCGCTGGCGTGTACATGTGCAATGCGTACATTCACTTCAGTGTGTGCATGTAGGCATACGGTATGAACAATGTGCATACATGTAGCAAACAATGTGTCTGTGCTTAGCCCATCACAAACACTCCTGAATCAAAGACTAATGTACAAGCACCGTGATGGCTAACTGCATCAAATAACACAACGATCAATGCTCAACCTTGATGTACATGTACACATGTACGTGTATGTGCATACAATGTACACGTAAAAACTATGAAACCACATCGCTTCAAGAGTTCCTACATCTCTGGAGGACTTGGGCCCAAAAATATAGTTCTGCTTCCCATTACTTGACAGATAAGAATTTTGTTTTGAAATTATGCTTTTTTCACTGAGGATTCAATGTATAGCTGGAAGTATTAAGTAGTGAAAATCGGCTGCCCCAGTGGATGGGTGGTATTTGTGATACTAGTTGCAAGCATAAACTGTTCAACCTTTGTGTACCGCATTCAAACTAAAAAGGGCGTAATTTTTTCTTCATTTCCACTTTCAATCTTTCCCACAATTTTTCACCTCCAAAATGATTTTCAGGATCGCAACGTCAAAATAGGGAAGGCCGAGGAACAGAAAGCCTAACTATTTGGGGGGCCTTCTACGTGTATACACATTCTTCAATTGCCTAATGGTTGTCTCTTAACTATGCACTATATCCCATTCCAAAAATTGAATTTCACAACCGTAAAACCCTACTACATTTCTACCTAACACAGATATAGAGAAGCAAAATTTTATGAAGTACCAGAAGGAAAAAAAATGTGGAAAGTATAACAAAAAGAAGAAAGGAAATGCACTCTACATTTAAAAGAAAAAAAAATTACAGAGTTACAATTTAAATACAAATGTATAGTTTTTGAAAATTTGTGTTTGATTTCATCCTAAAAAGTTACAAAAACAGAAAGGGAGAGGAGAAATATTTAGCTATTCCTAAACACAGTTAAGTATAAGTTAAAAAGGTTGTAGCACACCCTAGTTGCTTAAAAATTTGCTATTAGCACCTTGGCTAATACCCGGAGACTATTTCATCATTTTGATAAAAATGAAAGTACACTCTCCTTGTACAACTGTACAAGTGCGTCATTAAGATTTCATCAATATCTTAACATGTACAGGACCAAAAACAATGTTGCTACAGGCAAGTATTCGGATACATGCATCCCTGCAGTAACATCCTCTTAAGAAGCAAAGTATATCTTGTGCACTGCAGAATAAACCGCAAGCGAGTAAAATATTCCTATGCAGCATTTTGACATCCCAAGATCTAGCCAAGTTGCAACAGGAGCTCTTCCTGTTCACTTGGTAAGAGCAAAAACTGGTAAAAGAAAATGCATCCTTTTTCCCTGCAACCCCCAATGGTACAAGGAACCTTTGTGTACTTGTTAACTGCATTCCTGTCAAACCGACTTCTTTCAGAAGTGCCAAAACGTTGAAAATTTTTTTAAGTTTACAACCAAGTACGCAGAGCAGTTGTCATTCCTGACTGGCTCTTGATATTTTGCTAGCAATGTGCTGTGGCTCACCATCAGGCAGGTGAGATCGCTTCTTGGACCCTTCCCCCACCCCCGAATTATAGCTTCGGACCCCGTCAGGAGATGCTGGCTCTTGCTTGACACTAGATGTTGAGGGCCCCGCATCCAAGGCCTCTCTTATTGTGGACTCTAACTGGCTCGGTCTACCCTCGCCCTTACCTGTGCCTCTCAAAGTCGGCGGCTGAGGCTCCCCACCGTAGAGAGAGTCGTAAATCTGGGCTTCCACCAGCCGGTTGATGGCGTCACTCACGGAGGAATTCCGCATGCCCACCAGATCAGGCGCGGCATAGAGGACGGCCGGGCCTCCATTCAGCCCATCCTTGAGGTGGGGATAGGCGGCAGTTTTGAAGGCAGGGTGCACAGGCCAACCAATCCAGTGCTTGGACAGGCCCAGGGAGTGAGAGGCCAAGGCGGCCGCATGCTGGCCGTCGAGCACGTAGTATTTGTCAGCCAGCTCTGGGCTGATGCCAAGAGCCGGGGCCAGCAAGGTCTGGGCGAGGTACGCAGTGGGCTGCTGGTGCTGCTGCTGCTGCTGCTGGGGCCCAGCCAGACTCTGCTTGAGGAAATTGAGGTTGTTGTGCATGGCTTGCTTCTCACTCATTGCGCGCAGCCTCTCAGCGAAGCTCTCAAAAGGCCGGTGCACATCACTGACCGCAGGCATCTGTTGGGCTTCTTGTTGGTAGACGCTCGTTGGCAGGCCTTGAGTGCTGGACGGCTCCCCGGGATCATACTCCGTCTTGACTTTCTGGCTGCCGATTCGCTTGCCGAGACGTTTCAAGTGGCGCTCTTTCACTTTATACTCTAGCGTGGAATGCGGAACACCAAAGACGTTCCCAGCACGAGTGACTGTCATCTCCCCTCTTTGGACGGCGTTGACTGCTTGCATCAGGCAATCGCGGTCATAGCAGCGGTAGCGACCTCGCTTTGGGCGCTTCCCTGACCCGTCTTGAGAGCAGCCAGATCGTTGAGAGGCTTGCGGAGAGGAGGGCTTGTTAGAATTCAGGCTGTAGCCTTGCTGCCAGTTCTGCAAGTCCCCTCCATCCTGATTGTCTGACTTGTCGTTCTTGTTCTCATCACTGTCCGATTCTTGGTTATCCGAGCACGAGTTCATGGGCTTGTAGAGGGGGATCTTAAGGTCAGGCAGAGTCTGCGGGCGCGGCTGCTTGATGGATGTCTTCAAGGCTTTGGGGTCACAGCTGCCGTTGACTTTTGCACAGGCCTGCTCGGCAGTCAAATGGCAATGTATGAGTTTCTCTAAGAGGTGCTGTGGTAGTTTGGACTCTTCATCTTGATGTTGTCGGTGCTTGGTGATATTCTCCTTGTGCAACTGGTCCACATCCAGACCAGCCACCAGGCTGAGCCGGACGCAGGAGGCCACCAGGTCCTGCAGGATCTCCTGACTGATGCCGTTCTCCAGGTCCTCGTCAAGGTGTTTCACAGGGATGGTGCGGCCGACCAAGAAGCTGCGGAGGCGGGCGACGATGTCCTCGCCTTCGTCCTGGGCGTGGAACCTGCTGCCATTGGACAGGGGCTTCCCGTCGGGACCGAGCCCATCCTCCAGGCCGCCCTTCCCCCGGCCGCCAAAGTCGGCCAGCTCCTGCGCCTCCAAGATGTCACTGTCCTCCTCCACAACAAGGAAGCTGTGGCGGTTGAGGTGGTTGCGGATGGTCGAACGGGGGATGCCAAACAGCATGGCAGCGCGCCGGGTGCCCACCTTGCCAGACCGGACTTCCTGAAGGGCCAGCTTCAAGTCGTCCTGGGTGTAGGAGGCCGAGCCATACCCTTTGGTGGGCCGACCCATTTTATTCTTGGCTGGCCTTCAACATGAAGTGGGAAACAAATCAGCAGTTTAGAAAAAAAAACAAACTTATTTATTCATAATTCTTAAAAGTCCATTCAAATTTTTACATGTTGACAAATCACAAAAAGACACTGTAACAAATGTGTACGGAAATATTAAATACACACAGCAGAACAATATGTTGTCCAAAATGTGTGTGAACCACCTTCAAAGTTACAAAAATCCACTATTCTCAGTCCGTAATGGAACAGTTCACAGCTAAGCTAATATCACAGTAGATCATTAACAATGTTAGCCTTTTGACGACAGTGTCAGTCACAATGCCTCACAGCTCACCTGTGGACCGTGACCGAGGGCACTTTGAGCATGTGCTGCTTATTGGAGAGGCCCAGCACCCCCTCACTCAGGGCAGCCTCCCTCTCCAGATTGCCCTGCCGGCTGAGGTCCAGTGGCTGATTCTGCTCTCCGTCCGAGCCATACTCCACCTCATGGGTGTGGATATCATTCACTAAGTGAGGGACGACAGCGAAAAAAAAGGGAGGGGGTTGAAAATAAAGAAAACAATTTCAAAAATGGGAAGGCATAATATAGTCCATTGCGTGCCGATACGCAGGGCATTTGGGCTCACCAAGCTACAGATAGGTTAAACATGCCATTCTGCCAGGCCTCTGCCTTCTGATCATAATAGCGGTTGTGGTTCCTTGAGAAATGCACAAATCATGCAAAGTACATGTATGCATAAATGTTGGTTCAGGTATCCCACTGACGACATGTATTCCTCATACAAATAGTACAGTAATTCTCCTGTGCAGGTACTAGCAAGCACTGTAGTAGTCGAGTCCATCACAGGTCCCTTCATAATAAAACTCATAACCAGTCAGAACTAACAAAAGAGTGCTTTTGTCCCAGTTAATTTGAATAGCTTGTGAATATTGAGACTGAATGACTTGTGATGGGCTGGTGATGGACTTATAGGGGCTGGTGGTAGACTCAAATGTAACACTGCTAAACAGTGCGTGGGCTCCACATGCCGAAAAGAGATTGTGTGTTTTTAATTTAAAAAAAAAAGCAGCAGGCATGAGACTGGGGATAAGGAGAAATCCAGGGAACACCCAGCAGAGGTGTTGTAACGACGACTTTGGGGGCTTTTAATAGCTGGAAAGGGAGCGATTTCTCTCACCAATGGCTAGGACTGTGAGTCTCGTACTTGGTTTTATTTATTCAAAATGCTAGAAAGTGGTAAAATCTGAAAAAAAATTCAACCTCCAACATTCCAGTTAAATATCCGGATAAATTCTGACAATTTGCAATCCTTAATAACATGGACTTAGAAGGCATACTCACCCCACGACGAATCTAGGCACTTGCATTGTTATTTATGTGAATACAATGTCCCCGCGGGCCATAACCCCTGGAAATGCTTAGCCAACTTTAAACCCTGTTTTCTGAAAGCTCCAGACATTTCCTGCACATTTCCTCGGCACAGCATAAGTTCTGTGTATTTTTTGACCACTCGTTCCTCATAAAGGTCACGCAGAAGATAATTCAGGTTTACATAAATATGGATATTTTCCAAATTCACCCAAACCCTAAGAAAATCACTGTTTTCAAATGACCACCAAAATTAAACACGACTTCAAAACAACTTAATCTACAGAAAACACCAGCCAATAACCAATGGCCACATCTCAAAAAATTCAAAAAATATTCTGATCCATTCATATTAAACTTACCTGAGATCTCGGACCATTCATCTCAGTGTGCTCCCATTAACCCCCACCATGACCACAGAAATTTTCATGTAACCTTGCACACGAACACAAAACCAGTATTTCTAAACTAGGGCTGTCTGGCTTTCCAGAGCAATGCGCATTCACGAAATGGACACACCGCTGCCATGGCGACCCTACCTGATTTGGCCAGCCACTGTTCCGCCCGCTGCAGCCTCTGCTGATGCGACGTGTGCTCCGGCCGGCCAGCTCGGCCGTTGGTCAAGCCGCACTCCAGCTTGTCTATGTAGGCCTGGTGCTGAGCAATGGTATCCTGATGAATGGATGGCAACAATATTCCAAGGGTTTACAAAGTGCTGTGCAATGTTCCTTGGAACTTGTAAGAACAAACAGACATTGCACCTGGTGTGCCTTTATCCTTCTAATTCATTTGTTTCAAGTGTTGTCTAATGACGCTCATACTTCAAAACGGGCATTTCAATATGAAACTCAGTACATGTACTTCTGATTTCGACGTGTACACATAAATACATGTACACGTACTGTAGACACAGGTACTCAGCATGTATGGCAGCCAATATGCTAAGTATGCACGTGACCATGCAACATGATATGCGTAAACCGTGTATTTATAACTAAACCACATTCAGTTAACACGTCTTGGCTTTGCCACTACCCATGTACGCCACCATGTACCCATTGTATGACTAACTGTTGGACTTTCCAACTCCAACATGCAGGGAAGACAACCTGCCATGCTGACATGATCTCTCCACTGTTCCACCTGTTTTTCTCCAGGGCGAGGTGCAGGGGCAGGAACTTATCAAACATGTGATCCAAGCCCTCCTCAATCTTTCCAAATCCACCGGGAGGTTTTGGGAGAATGTTGTGGGGGGGAAAGGGAAGCTTGGATTGTGGAAGCCCTACCCCTTTTCCCACCAGGTCTCCGTGCCCCTTGAGGTTCCAAGTCCTACAGGGTCACACCACCGTAAATTGGCTCATTTGGAAGGAACTCGCAAACTCCCAGGGTGATTCAGATTAAAACTGCACACTGGGTGGGATCTCAGCACAGTACATACATAGACGCTCTCCCTCTACAGTCTCAAAAACAAGCCAGGTTACCCTGCGCAACTATTGGAGTGTGGCAAACAGGATGACACAGGGTGGGGCTATCAGTCCCCTCTCTACCCTCACCCCCCCCTCCCTGCACCTTTGCCACCTTGTCCATGCTATTCCCATCCGGTTTGTCCTAGGGAGCCCCCCTCACCTCCACGGCCTGCTGTCTGGCCTGGCACAGCAGACACTTCTCTTCCCCCTTCCAGTCCTGGCAGGTCTGCTCATCCTCCTCGTCATCTACACACAGCCAAGAAACAACAAACACAGACACGTCACGCAAACAAAGGGGACTAGAATTTCTGTCATACACACATACATGCACCAATGTGCATGTACGTGTACAGTGTGCGACACAGTGACTCGGGAGTTCAACCAAATGCCTCCATTGATTGCCAGATTTCCTGCATCCTTCTCCCGGAATGATCACATAGCGAGAGAGTGATTGGCAGTGACAGTCATGGCAATGTCAAGTTTTGAAGATAAAAACTGAAGTAACAGATTTCAGTGTCGTATTAGCAATGGGGTTGGAATATGGACAACAGGCACTCATGACTTGGGTGCCTCCAAATTTGGGAAGAAGAACTGATACACACATACAACATTTACCGGTACAGTGAAAATGCAAGGCTAAGGTTTAGTATTGTTGGAATCACAGTACTTGTCGTATATTGTTGCACATGCACCAACATGGTTTATCTGAGATACCTGTCCCTGTAAATCTATGTACATATACCGGTACATGGATCATTCTGTAAATTTAGAGTCCAAAATTAGGACGGTTTTGTGTCCCTGTTACACCCAACCTGTGCAATTTGACATCAAAATATATGGTTGATTGAAATTGTCTTCAAACTATTTTTATTTGTTTAGCAGGTAATATGCATCACTCAATCACTCTTGGAAATTAAAGAATGTGTTTTAAACTTGCCACATCATATGTCAGATGTGACTGGGTCACAAAATGTAGCTGAACCCCAAATTTATACAATGGCAGAAATGTACATGTACATACATGTACATGTATGTACCGGTACGTGGGTCTTTCTTTTAATATGGGCCAATGTGTATTTCAGGGACATCACAATTATCAGGGCCATTTAAAACAAGACCAGTCTCACTTTCCCGTTGAATTTTCATATGTACATGTACAAATTTGTCAATTAATACATGTATGTGTTGATTACATTGAATTCATTTACATTAAAAAATGTTGATTTACACAAAAAATGCAAGGGAAAAACCTCATCGTTTCTCACTGTTTTTTTGGTATTAAGTGTGTCATTTTTGATGACCTGTTTCATATGACATTTCATACCACTAGCAAAACAAATAAATCATTTATTTTTTACCTAACCTACATGTATTAACAGAAAGGTAAATTATGGTATCGGATAAATCTCCAAATGAAATTCATTTTAATTGAGAATACAGGTGCCGTCATAATCTGATATAACGTTACATTGCATTCCTCCAGTTATTACGTAGCTAAAATCATTTTTGGCTGTTAAAAACAAACAAAAAGCTGTTGCAAATCATTTCGAAAACCTAAAATATCAACTCTGAGTACCCCCCAAAAATACCTCCTACTAACTTGTGTCTGAGATCCCAAACATTTCGGAAGATATCCCTGTCAATTCTCGTCAAAAAATATTTTGGTTACTCACAAATTGTTACGTTGTAAACAAAAAAGTCCGTGCAACTTCCAACGTTTGCCCAAGTCGGGATCCTATTGCAAGCCTGCATGCGTTGTCACGTGATCGTCACATGACACAGACATGCCAAGTTCCCGCCATTCCTTCATCGTCAAGAAATTGCAATTGAAGTTTTCATTACACATTACACTGTGACAAAAAATTACAGGGTGCGGGTTTCTTCTCAAGACACGAAGGTAAAATTTACCTGAAACTCAACGTATATGCCGAAAAAAGGAGCACGAAAGCCACTTAAACCTTACAAATAAAAATGAGCATACGGACGGAAGGAAACATTTTTCCCCTTCAAATTGGAAACACTTGTCCTGGAGCTGGAAGTCGCCACTTTTCATTTTGCGAGTTTACCTGTACGCTTATGTCTGTTAACGATGTCATGACACGCTGGTCTAGCAGTCCATTCACAGCGTGCTGTCAAGTCGGTACACATGTGCCGGCGACTGTCTTGTGAGTGGCGGAACATTCGGCGGCAGTAACCACATGGAAACAGTGCAATGCACATTACGCCTCTCGGGAAACAGTCACCGGCGCGCGTGTGCCGCTCTGACTCGGCATGCTGGTGCTATTTTGTGAATGGTCCGCTAGGCCAGCACACTGTGACGTCATCAACAACATCTCAACAACAGCTCAAATCACGAAATTGCAATATGTGCAATGTTTGGTAACAACTGTCATGCTTTATGACATCAAAATTGCTTTGCATTAATTCCCATTCATCAAAAAGATGAACAAGTTTTAGAGGATATTTGTATCCCTAATTTATTTGAGATCACTATTCATTGACTGCAGACATGAAATGTTGTTGCCATTGTTACAACAAAATCTAATGCAGTTCCCAGTGTAAATTAATGTTTGCATTGTGACAATTTTCCCACGTGTAACAGAGAAACCGAAATAAGTCATAAAGCTCTTTAAACTAAAAACTTCAAAACACTTACTGTTTCGGTCAAAGGTGCACAAGCTAAATGGCATGCATACCTATGAGCTGTGCCATATATTTGCTATTTAAGAAACTTTGTGTTAAACCAAACAAAACTTTGCAAAATAATTTTAAAAATAGCCAAAAAAGAATTTTGGGGGAAAATGTTTGCCTATTTTTGTGCCACCTGAAACCCCATCTGGAAAAAATAACTAGTGATGAGAATATGTGGTATGTACACAAAACAAAATGGGCAACAGTTGAAAAGAAACCTTTACCCACCAAAAATGACATGCACAGAACCATCATATTTAATTTCTCTGTCACATATCAAATAAGTTCCTGCACCACTGGACAAATTGAGTCTGTACATGTCAAGTAGTTATTCAAAGCAAAAATCATTTCCATTTATTGCATGTAGTATGTATCATCAATTACATATCAACGAGTTTTGAATTTGTTTAGACAATTTTGAAATGTTGACCACCATGTCACATATTTGGCCCCCTATTTAAAAGAAAGACCCACATGTACATGTACATGATCAGCAAATGTCACAGAAAATACCGGGTAAATGCGCAAATTTTTACAATTACAAGCCAGAAGAAAATCGCAGAAAGATTTCCCCATTGATGGAGCAATATCAAATGGACTGCATAAAGCATCATTTCTGAATGCCAGCAGACATACAAACATGTAGACATTACACTTAAGTCATTGCTAACAGCCCCAAACCACAATGCCTCTCAGAAAGAACTACAACTTGGGAGGCTGTGCTGGCAAGTTTTCCAGGGGTTGTAACCATACGCAGCTCTCCTCAGAGAATGTCTTAACTGTGGAAATTCATGAAATACCATGGAATGAACACCTACCAAAAATGCCAGGTCCACTGGCAATACACAAGCCAGAGTAATTTCCTTCGAGCCCGGGGGAAATCCTAGATTTGGCCAGGAAATTTGGCTCCATTACAGAACTAACTTTCTTTGAGAATGGTGTCAGGAAACCTGTACACACACTGATCCCCCAAAATAGGAAATTTGATATTCAGACATGTGGGAAGTATTATTTGGTTTCTGTCGAGTTTCCCTTGGGGCGTCCAGTGTGGACAGTCCCCATGGGGTTTTTAATGGAACCTTTGAAATGAGCTGAATTAACCTGTAGCATGTATGGGTATAATTCATGTTGTCTCTTTTTGCTGAAAGGGATATTAAACTCCTTGGAGTTCTATCATCATGCAAGCACGACTAAAGGTTCAGGGGGCCAAAAGAACCCCTCCCAAAACAAGGGTCAAAATGTTTTAGTTTTGAAATGTGAAAAAAAAAGAAGGCAATTATGGAAACCATTGCACCCATGCATCTCAAAATATACAAAAAACCCTTCAAATTTAGTCCAACCCATAATGTGGTCCCTAACAGAATATAAATTTGTCAACCTCCCGGAAAAAAAATTTTCTTCCAGATCTTCCCTTAAGGATCAGGTATCACAAGTACACATGTTCAAAATGGCACCTGCATGAAAAAGGAAAAATGGGCCAGTAAACAACTCAAACCTTTGAGATAAGAGGCTTTTTTATCATTAACTGATCACTGAAATGCGACTACTTTGCATTCTTATTACAAGTAAAAAACAAACCACAACAAACTGTATACTTTTTTTTTACATTTTGAATCATGAAAACATTCTGTCACTCCCAGCATACCATGACTTGTCACTGGAATGGAAAATATGGGAATGACGATCTGCCGATACAACAGTGTCACAAAACATAAATGTCGTGCTGAAAGCAGGATGATTTGAAGTTAATTCCTTTTTTATGGCAACGTACATGTACGGCATGAAAACAGCCACATGTATGCACATTGCATCACCACTCTGTGCCGTAAACAGCGGGTACTACATGAGCGCTTGTGCTTGCGCAATCGCCAAAATCTACTCACTAAACCTTGACCCAACATTTATCAACATCTGCTGTACCTTTGAAGGGAGATATCTTCTTCACGAAGTCAAGGCCAAAAAGGCTTTCCACAACGCATTCAAGACCTGCATGTATAAAGAAAAAATCAAAACACAAACGTCACAATAATGTCTCCATGTACATGTACATGTACTGGGAGACACGGCCGTCTCCCTCCCCTTCCCCCGCCCTGAGAAAACAGATTTTGGGGAGAAAAAAATGATGAGAGAAAGGCAATTTATCTGTTTTCTTTCCCTTGGTTCCAAAATCATGTAGAAGGTACAAAAATGCAGCTGCAAAACAGCTGTACAAAGTTTACATTAAAAATGTCCAGAATTTCTGCTCCCATGCAACCAAAAAAATTGGGTCCTACTGTACAGTAGATTTCCCCTTGGTGCAGCACATCAGTGAATACGGTCAGCGTGTCTGTTTAACTTAATTCCTGGGATTGGGGAAATAAAACTGAACTGAGCAGGAAATGCCACACGTGAAACTGACTTCATACACAGACACCAGTTGAAACACAGACAGGGAAAAATATTATGCACGGTTGTGTCTGAATTATAAAGCAGTATCTTGAAATTACACTCAACTCTATGAGAAGTGACTGCTGCTACAACCATAGTCATGCGTACATGTAGTTCCAAGCCACATGTGCCGGTAATTTACACATGTACATATACATGTACACACATGTACATGTACATTGTACGTAACCACAATCTGACCTTACACATTTTCAAAGGTTACAACCATCATCTATCATTAAAAGTCAAAACAATAGAAAAAATTAGTATGTACAAGGGTAATGCCAGAAATGAGGGGTCCAAAAGTGTGACATTTTGTGTTCCTGTTACATCTGACCTTTGTTATTTGACATGGAAATATCACCGAAATTGATTTCAAACGATTACTATTTGTTTTGCAGGTAATTTGAATTAATTTATCACTCATGGAAATTAGAAAATGTGTTGTGAACTTACAAAATAATACGTCAGATGTGACAGGAAGTCAAAATATGGACCCTGAATTTCTGGAATTACCCACATACATACACATGCACAACAATGTACATGTATACAAGTAACGTGCCAACAGAAAATCTGAATTACACGTACACGTACTGTGCCTTTGTTTCTCACAAATTTCAATTAAACCGGCGGTAATATCATGATACAAAACAACAAAACAAGTGCAATGTGCACTCGTTACATGTACGTATAAATACACACAAGGGAGTCAGGGAATCCTTCTTTATACATGAGGCATTACTGTAAATGTACATGTAGTGTTATAATATTAGATTAAGTAGCATGTAAGCGGGGGGCCCTAACTTCCACACATGTGCATGTACATGTATAGAACCGGTACATGTACATAAATAGTGCAGCTTTGAGTAAATTTTTCCCAACCATTTTTGGCCTCTTTATAATTCCTTGTGCATACCAAACAATGGCTACATGCACTGTTAGACACGAACAAGGGTTTATCCACTACGAACACAGGGCGAGGGTTCCCCTCGTTTTCTCAGAATGACATAATCTCCATTCAGAACTCGCATCTTGGCATGAAGCCCTTTTGAGCTTGTTATAGTTGAGCTCTGGAGACAAATGACACTGCCATTGATTTGGATGCTTCCATATTTACATGTACATGTATTTGAACAGATAAAATCGGAGAAAACGTGTTTTCTTTAGGTGTGCTCTTTAAGTTACTGTATAAAGCATGACACGTGTACACAACCAATAGGGATGTCAATTTTCTGGGCATTTCCATTTGTAATTCTACTAAGCTGAGGTACCACAAGTTTTGCCTCCCCTTCCCCCTCCCTCCAATAAAAACCAACACCAACAGGAACATGGCCATACATGTACAGGTACATGTACATTGTATAACTTTGGCTGAATATTGTTCAACAATCCTGCTGAAAGTGTTTATTTCAACTCTTCAGTTACCCGTATCTTCCATACTCAAGTCAATTTATCCAGCAACCACTAGTGGTACACTATTTGTTATGTACATGTACATGAACACATGTTGTCCATGTATCAGGTAAATAGAGATGGTTTGAACATAATTTCTATTTCACATCCAGGTACATGTACAGGTACACATGTTCACACAGTACATGTACTCGTACATGTAACACGCATGTAAGGTACAATGCATTGTGTAAACACAGAATGGAATCTTTGAAAGTGCCTACACCTTTCGAAACTGAATGTGCAGTTCCAGTAAATTGTATGTACATGTTAAGTACACACCATACAGTGAACATGTACCGTACAACTACATACATGTACAAGTGCCATAATACATTGAGGATGTACACTACACGGTATGCACACATCATTTGACAGAATCCATGGCAGTTTTAAATATGTACATGTACATGTAACTACTGCCCTGCTCATGAAGTTTGAAAGAGAAGCATGTTTGATTTTTCCAAAACATTTTGCTATCTACACTGTACATGTAATGGTTGTCCATCTTCTCAGTTCCTGATAAAATCAGAAATTGTGAGATAATTTACATGTACAACTTGCAAAATCACTGCACATAGAAATCTACAGGTAACTTTTAACCACAGTGCACAGATGTACATGTATGTACATGTACATTTGCACATATACATGTACATCTGCACATGTACATGTACATCTGCACATGTACATGAACCAATGCACATGTACATGTATATGTACATGTACATGTTCATGTACGGTACCGTACATGTACCAGTACATGTATACCACGGCTTTGCGCACTCCAATATCAATTACTAGTACGGCACATGTAAAAATGAATTTATTTTGTTGAGTAACAAAACAAACAAAAAATTTCAAATATCCACTAGATTTCTGCCGCACTATAGGCTTACATGTACATACATGTACACTGTATGTACACATATCCATAACGCAATTCGCTGTTTGTGCAGGCACTGATGAACAATAGCGTCACAGCAGAAAGCCTGCAGGCACAGACAAGATGTACAGGTGAAACTGAACAAAGGATTTGGCCCCATATGGGTAAAATTAGGGCCAGTGACTCGCAAAATTACGTTTCTGTTATGAGTTTTACATTACACATGCAGATCTCTCCCTGTAACCAAATCTTCTGTAAGCTTTCACAATGTCTGTTTTCAGGTATCATACAAGTAGTACGTGCAAAAGATCAAAATTTTAATACTAGGGAAATATCAGACCATGCCTTAGATTACGTGTGCAAAAGCTCTAATTTCACGAAATTTCAAATGGCAAATTTAAAGGTTGATGCCATGTACATGTACAAGTATCTAGGTATACTTGCATACATGTCCACTTGACAAATAATTTGCAAATCAAACAGACACAAGGGTGTTCTGTGCTAGCATACTGATATACAGTATTACAGAGTACACACGTACATTGTACATGTACATGTATGTATTGTATTGTACTGTAAAAATTAACTTTTGAGTGGAAAATACATGTGCATAAGTATGTAAATACAGAGGACAGCTTTGTTCAGTAGTAATGCACACGCACAGGTACCGGCACATTTGGAACCAATCCATTTCACATTTGTGTAAATAACCCCAAATGTCTCACCCACAATTACATGTATGATGATGCTGCTCAACTCGTGACTTGTTTACCACGTTGAACTCAAGTTGCACACTATCCATGTACTTCTGTGACTTTGAGTATTAAAGTGACTCAGATCGGTAGCTCAATGACTGACACAGAGTAACTCCTGAAACTTGGGCTTAAACTGCACGTAAAATATAATTTGGCAACTTTACTGCATCCCACTCAAGCAAGTCCAAGGGGTCATGGATGCAAACAGGCAGTCCTGAAGCTGGGTATCCTACTGACAAAAACAATCTTTAGAAATACGGTACTGAAGAACAGTGCAATTGATTACTTCCCTCGCGCTTATCCGTGCTTTCGCCGCAGGTTAAGATAACCATGAATACATGTATTCTGTGCTAATAAATGAATGATTACTTGTGCCCAGCTACATGTACATGTAGGTCAAAAAGTCATGCATCAATTAATTTAAATTTGCTCAAAATGACTTCAAACTGTTGACAGCAACAAACAAACACGCCCACATTTTTGGCCGTTTGTACTTGATGTAAGTCAGATCCCACTATATTTCAGCATCAAGTTTTGGGAATTGTTTAAAATGGTGTCGACTTTGCATCTTTCGACTAAGCCGCCATACTTTTGCAATAGACTGTTGGATGCTTTCCCAAGTAAGTTCTATGGACCACACCCAACAAGTGTGAGAAGTCAAGTGAGTGTCAAATCAAATGCAGTTACACCTCAGGGAGGAGTAAATTTTGTAGAGGGAAGTTATCAAACATACAGTGCTGTCAGTAAGTTTTAACAAATGAATCAAAAGTGGAACTCCCACATGGAGAACTTGAGTGTAATGTGAGTGGTGCATACATGAACACTAACTGATTGGTACAAAGAGATTTTCCTCCTCAAGTTTAACTCAAAGGTGGATCTAGAAACTTAGAAATCATTTTGACTGATATACATGTACATCTGTAGACTGAATCACATCTGTGTTCATGTACATGTATCTATATCCATGTATGAGAAAGCCATCATTTGTCACACAAACCATGGTTAACAGATTCAAGGAACTCATCACGTGTAAATGTATACATGTACATGTAGCTTTGTTAGACCACAATGGATGTGTGTAAGGTGCATGTACCTGTACATGTACAAGTACATGGGAGGTTGAAGCCCACAAACCTGGGTAGTTTCTCCCGGTGATTTCCCAAAAGACGTTTCATTTTCACTGATCATTATGGGAAAATCCCTTTGCTACAAGCGAATCATGGAATGGGATTACATCTACATGTACATGTACATGTTTATGTACAAATGCACATGTACATGTTAAAGTGCATGCATTATGTAAATGCACACTGTACATGTACACGTAGAGCTATAAATCTTGGGTGAAAATATTCACTTTCCCAACAAGACAGTGGACATCACGGCTACATGTACCGCTACATGTACATGTATCTTTAGTTTAATCCTTATTGTGTAATATCCTGGTTAATGTACATGCATGT